CCTAAATCAGGGGTCTCCAATCTCGGCAACTTTAAGCCTGGCGGACTTCAACTCCCAGAATTCCCCAGCCAGCTGACTGAGGAATTCTGGGAGTTGAAGTCCGTCAGGCTTAAAGTTGCCGAGATTGGAGACCCCTGGCCTAAATGACTCCTACCAATGCAGATCAGTGCCCAATTAATCAGAAATGCATCTTTCACTCATTGTATTCCTTATTCTTAGTAACCTACTTGCATTTTTGGTTAGAAAGAAATTGATTTCCCAATTCATAATAATGCAATTATATGCTATGTCTTTTGGGGAGGGGGAGGGAAGGAGGGCTGTCACTAGATGGCAGCACAGTGCATTTTACAGCAATTCCAGAAGAAATCTAATTTATTCATGACACGTTAAATTACAGCTGACAACTAAATGACTTCTTTGGAAGAAATATGGAATATAAAAGCTGCACCAAATTCTTGTAAATATATACTCCTAATTATTGGTACTTGTCTGATTTCAAGTCTTATTGGCATGAAAATACTGTTTTATAGGAATTCTAGACACTGTTAATGTTAATTAACATTAACTTGATTATCAAGCTATTTTTAAAATGTAAAAAAAAATGCAAGCAAATATTTTCCGCCGTTATATAGGCCCTATGATTTATGCAGAAAACATTAATTTTTACAGAAGTGCATCTTGTATTATTGTAAGTAACTTTGCAAACTACATCACATTATTAGACAGTTATAATTTACAAAAACTTTTCAACCAACTGAATAGATTCCTTAAGAATAAGGAATGGAGACTCCTTTTCTCCCCAACATCCACACCCTTCAGATGTGATCTGAATTTGATCTAGAGCAGGGCTGGTCAAACTCCGCAGCATCACGGCGGTGTCACAGCGGCATCATGTGATGTATCCAGAATTTTTTTTCCCTTCGCTAAACCAGGCGTGGGTGTGGCCAGTGTGTGACACATCCAGCTTGTGGGCTGGGAGTTTGACAGCCCTGACCTAGAGAGTGGCAGTTGCAGAAGAACTGATGGGAAGTCAGGAGGGAGAAGTCTACTCATTAGATACTTGATTCAGGGAAAGGATAGTATATTCCAGTAGGTACTCAGCATCAGTAGTAGTAACAGAGACAGGTCCCATTTCATATGACACCAAAGCAACAGCTACAAATCATATTTCCACTGGGCTTATGTTTCCTACCATGATGAAGATACATTTGCAGAGAACTTACAATACTGGAAGTACCTTTACCGCAACTTCAGATGATGTTGGAATATTGCCAACCCATCTCCCCTCAGTCCCTCACATTTACTCTTCTGAAGTTAAAGAAATGTTTTGTGAGCTTTCAAAGGGAATGTGAAAGGCCTAAATAAAACAACAACAAGGGTACACTTCCCTGAATTCTGTCGATGCCTCAACTTTCAATTTATAGTACTCTTTTGAATGTACCAGGTGAACTTTGTACTTGGTAGAAAGACTGAATGGAAAGTAACTCCAAGTTGTGAAATGCAATCAGCGATATCTAAAGAAAGTTGTAGGGAAACTAAAAAAAAAAGCTTAACCACTTGAACATTACGTAAACAAAGCAGAAATCTAGATTCATAAAATAGTTTTAGAATTCTGTGTTTAGAGATGTCTTTTTTATTATTATTATTAAAGTCAAGATTGCATTTGGATACAAAGGTTGAGCTGTGGTGATGGAACAAGCAAACAAACAAAACAAAAAAATTCTACACGTGGGAAAAACATGTCCAGCTGCTACTAAAGAGAGATGCTATAAGAAAATTAAATACAAAGAAAAAGAACTTATTCTGAAATCTGTGCATTTCAGAGCAACTTTTTTCACACTTTAAAATTCCTAATTCCAACTATTCAAGGAAACCTTTTTGTTGAAAATTGCCCCTTCCTAACTTACTTTGCTAAAGCATCTTTTATCAATATATACTATCTAATCTCTCCAACTATCTATTCTCCAAATTAGTTGGGATGGTATCTCCCAAGATTCCTACACAGCTGAAAATTCCAGGGCCTGTAACTCAACCCTATTTGCAGGGAGAAGCGGGTGACCTTTGAAATACCATTGTTGGGGCCAATATGCAGACTGTGTAAAATGTTTAGAGAGGGCTGTAAAGCACTGTGAAGTGGTATATAAGTCTAAGTACTATTGCTATGTTTGTCAAATATAATAGAATTTTATCCAAAGATATATAGTAACTACTCCTCTGTGATGAATACTATAGATCTGAAGACTACTGATAGGTTTAGACAACTTGCTGAAGAGAGCAAGGTCTATTTTGTGGCTACCAGAGTATGAAAATTTTCATAGTTTATTGAGGGTTGTTAGAAATAATAGTGCATTCCAAGGAAAATGTTCAAATATTTGCATTAAAATAGAAACACGAGGCTACTAGCCATAAAATTCTACTGAAAAATAGTTTTTGACCTATCAATTATTGGTTTGAAATGCAGCTTAAGGAAACAATTCCATGCAGCAAACTGTTTGTGGACAACAACATGGCCAACTTGTTGTGGCCAACTCGCCATGGCGAAGTTGCCAAGGGACAACTTGCGCACAGCCAACTCACTGTGGGACAACTTGTTGTGGGACAATTCAAAAAATCCATTATTTAAAATAATTTAAAAATTATTTTAATTTTTGCCATTCCCATTTCATTTTGTGTTGTAATGACGAGGCAGTCGAGTTGTTTGATCATGAACAACTGAATCATGATGATCTTTATTGGAGTCTAGTCTTGCATTTATACACATTTTTAATTATCCTCCATCATTGGTTAACTTTGGTTACTGCTTAACTTTTGTTACTGTTTAGCACAGTAATCCATACAATTAATTATCTCTAGTTAAAGTCTAACATATGTTTACTTCCTCTCTCTAATCCTCCTTTAGATTAGTAACTTTGTTTACCTGAGTTGTATTTGCTTGGAAACATTCTTTATCTGAGGTTTGCCATCCGAGACTGGAACATTCCTGCAATTACAACTCTCCAATTTTGTCTCTCTTTTGGCATCTTTTCCTTGCTGATTCTCTCTTTTGGCATCTTTTCATTAATATCTTCAATATTAGTATAATTCTTGACCTGCAGTGAATAGTCTCATGGCGAGTTAGCCACGGCAAGTTGGCCGCAGCAAGTTGTCCCAGATATGGGAACTGACTGTGAATGCACTTCCCAGAGATGCATTTTTTTTCTTTTTTGCAATTTGCAATGGTATGCTTGAATACACTAGAAATATATACAGAATTCCTCTTCATAAATAATTTGTTACTCTGTGTAAGCTCCATATCACAGTGGCAATCACTTTATTATATGCTTCTCAACATACAAAATAGATTACAGCTAAGCTCAAAGATCACAAAGGCCTACTGCATAGTGCTCTTTCTAAGTGATAGTATGTCATCTGGTAATTATATTACTGTTTGCATACATGAGCCATCTTATCAATTGCCAATTAAACATGTGTAAGAAGAAACCCAAACAATATGATTTGTAAAATTATATTAGCTAAATACAGTATTTTTATACTTCTTGTGATTGCTGCTAATCTTGGAGTATACTGACAGCATAAAACGGTTATAAAGAAATAGAGCTGTATATGGCATTTTAGATTCAGCTCCTCAAAGATCTTCTGAATGTGCATGTAGTCCTCTCCGCAACTCTTTAAAGTAGCTGCATCTTTTCCCAAGATTGTGAGCCAGACAAAGATCCAGATGCTTGAAAGAGATGTAGAAAAGGACTATGTCTGTTCTTTCAAGCAGCTTTTTGGACTCAAATCTGAAATGCTGAACGGTCCTAGAATTTCATCTTCCCACTGTTCTGTGAAGGAAATCTGCATAAATTGACAGATGGGAAGAAAAATGCTTCTCTGAACTGATCCGAAAGCCTCAACTCCCTCCAGGCAAGAATCAGAAATGCAGCAGAGAAAAGGAAGCAAAGGCTGACAGCATGCTCATTCATCTATATCTTGGAGGAAATTCACAACAAATCAAGTTTATTCTTCCAAAATGACACTAGCCATGCAAAAGGGAACTGAAAAGTAGGGAAGATTCTGAATGGTAGCACTGGTCAAATGCAGCTTTTTTTTTCTTCAGCTACTCCCCCAAGAAAAGTCTCATTATGAATTTTTGAGCTGGTCCGTAGTCCTTTATTAAATTAAGACACTGACCTTAGTAGGGCATCTGAACAAATTAAATGAGGGGATATTAATTCACCTGGAGACTAATTTTTACTCCTGCAAGAGAAACTATGAACATTCACAGAGATTTCAGTTGACATTTACTCAACCTCATAGAGACCCTATAGATTGCAGAATGACCCGGTCTAGCTTGGGACTTGACAATGGAGACCAGTGCTATTACCACAGAGAGAAGTGAAAAGAAAAAGGAAACGGTTCTGGAGATTTGGGGCGAAACTGAGTTGGGAAACAGTCCTCGTGTATATTATCTGTTGTCCTTGTTGTATTATTAGCAACCAAACATTTCTGTGCTTTGGAGCATTTCTAAAACAGGAAAGGTATTGCTGCACTTTCTTTTCCAATGGCAACAGAAAGGAAATGGAGACGCTGCATGATATGTACATATTAGGCTCCACCACGTCTGAACCTGAAATCAATGACAGCGTGAATGTCTGCAGCACAAACGATATTAGAACGCAATTTGAATAACGGGTGCCACTAGTTTTAGGATGTTATCTGGATACAAGGGATGTGATGATCCTGCTACAGTTTGAATCAATGTGTTCCTGATTCGAAACCTTTTCTTATAAGTTGGCTTCTACCTCTTGCCAACAAATACACAGAAGCCAAACAAAACTGTGGCAGCCTGGAAATCCAGCCGTTTTGTGTTGCCGGTTCTCTTGCCTCCGAAATGATTTCGGCAGGAACCTCCAGCTATGCCCCACATGACCGCAAATGGCAATCTACCTTCTCTTCAGCCTCTCTTGACATTCTACTCGAGTATATATGGTAAATCTGCAGCAAGAGCACCCACCTACCTTCATCATTAGCAGGCAGTTTGCCGTGGAGTACATCACCCGGCCCAGACGTGACCTCCACAGCTGAACAGAGGCTGTAAAATGAGAGCAGCTTGTGAATGTGCACAAATAAATTAGAAGCTCTTTCCCTAGCCATCAATTATCGGTCATATGTATTCCAACTGAAATGATTTCGCCTCGTTAACATCACCACATTTTGAGCACAGTGTTTCTAACATTCTGCCATGTTGCTCTGAAAAACCTGCACCCACTCAGTAGAGAGAGAGAGAGAGAGAGAGAGAGAGGCTTGATTGGGGGAAAGGAACAGACTGTCTGAATAAATGAAGCATAATACAAAGCTGGGAAACAACCTCTCCACTTTGAGCTCTGGCAATTCGGCAAGGAAGCAATCATTTAAGAGAACAAAAGGCAGGGAGGAAGACAGAGAGAGAGAGGGAGAGAGGGGGGAGGGAGAGAGGGAGAAAGTGTGTGTGTGTGTGTGTGTGTGTGTGTGTGTGTGTGTGTGTGAGAGAGAGAGAGAGAGAGAGAGAGAGAGAGAGAGAGAGAAGGCATACACTAAGTCATTAATTAGGACTACTGATGAGCAATCATCTGATTTAAGCCATTAAATGTACACCCTTCTGCTTCCCTTACTGACTGATGCTGAAAAACCAAAACAAAAAACATGACTTCGTTTTGGCAAGCAGCACGAGGGTTTCAGGACTCTCTTGGTCTGGGGGATCTTGCACTGACTTATCGGGCTTAGGAGCCTGGAAAAATCTGCCAAGCTTCTCTGCCGCTCCTACGCTACTGAATCTCCCAGGGTTTCAAGGCTGCTGCCTGTAGCACCAGCCAATTTCTCACTCCCTTAGTTTAGAGGCTGGCTCCTCATGTGAGAGAACACATGGCTCATGAAGATCTTGCCCAGCTTAAAGGGATCAGGGGTTGCACTGCCAGGAAAAGGTGTTTATTATGTTGCAAAATGAACACTATGATAAAAGGGATTTTAACACGGCCAGGGTTCCAATTCTTAGGTGCCCTTAGGAAATTCCACTGATTTCAGTGAAATTTGCTTTTTAAAATCAATATACAGAATCAGATCACAAATCTGACTTCTTTCAGAGTTGGTAATGATATCTTATAATAATAATAATATAATCTTATAATAATTATTATAAGATTATTATAATAATCTTGTAATAATGACCTTGGTCTTGTTGGTTATCATGGTATTGAATTGAAAAAAGGGCTGTGGAAAAAAATAGTTAGAACTGCAGTGAAATAAGCATCACTTTTTTTTGGCCTGAAGTGGAATATTTTGTTATTTGCTTTACAAACCTTTTTTATATATGTTATCCAAGACTAGCAGAAATGTATTTATTCTGATTGATTCAAAAGTGCACTTTACCTTTAGAGTTCATGTAAATATGGACAATTTTGAAAATATATTCTCCAATGTACTGGTAAGCAACAATTTCAAACACTACAATGTCTTCTGCCCAATCACACTGCAAAACAAACAAACGAACTGCAAACCAATAGAAATGCAGACCTCTGCTCCTGCCTCTACAGAAGTCACCAAGATTAACACTGGTGGGAGTTGCATAAAGGAAGTACAAAGCATATTTTTTTAGTACAGCAAACCTTTAGGATGTGTGATAATAATTGGAAAAGCTCTATGTCATCACAAATTAGTAAAATGTATGATAAAAATGTAAAAGCAAGAAATAATATATTGTTTGGTTCTAACTGAAAAAAACTGCCATCTTATATAAGAACAATAAATACTATTTGCAGGTCTTAATTTAGGTTGTATTTTTGTATATTTGTCCAACCCTCTTCTGTATTTTTTTTTAAAAATGTGGGTATGAGAGAGGAAGGAAGGAAGGAAGGAAGGAAGGAAGGAAGGAGGGAAGGAGGGAAGGAGGGAGGGTGGGAGGGAAAGCTGCCAAGAAAATGGTGCAATGCTAAATCTTTTTCTTACCACTGAACGGAGAATGAGATGCATCTCTCTCTCTCTCTCTCCTCTCTCTCTCCCTCCCTCCCTCCCTCCCTCTCTCTCTGTTACTGAGGAAAGGCAATGCCACAAGCTGGTTTCTGCAACACCTACTCAGACCAGCAATAGGGACATTATGCTGCAGAGCTAATCCCATTAAAAATGAGGCTGTTTTCAGTCATAGTTTGCAAAACAAAAACATCTTTCAGTGACATTCACAAACAAACAAACAAAAAAACACAGACAAAAAGTTCCCTGTAGCTCAGAAGTGCAGCCGAGCCCCTTGCAGGGAGAAGATCTGATTGCCCTTCTCAGGAAGAGATGCCATCAGTCCTTACAAGTGTCCTCCGGGCAACATTAGGCAGACAGACAGCTGTAATGCCGCTGCACTCCAAGCGCATAACAGCCACTCACAGATGCTTGAAGCTCTCTCTCTCTCCCTGGCTTCCGCTGGCTGCCTTTCATCCCTGGCCACGCCAAGCTCTGCTCAACTTAGCAAAGCAGCTGTGGCGAAGGAGAGCGTGAACAGAGAACAGAAACAGGAGCATCTCAAACAAAGGACAAGCGCCAACGGATGGCTTTCCTTCCAGGGCTGACTTCTAGGTGACTTGGGCTGCATGACCCATAACTCTAATCAATGGGAGGTTGCAGGAATACAGTCTGCTATAGAGAGAGGGGAAGGATGGCCTAAAGCTCAGGGAGCAGTCAGAAAATACTCCGAGCAAGTTTGGGTAGAAATAGTGAAGTGGTGAGGTGGGAGAGACTCCAGATTTAATTATCTCCCTTTTGCCAAGAAGACTTGGTAGCTTTGTGGGAATGGTAGACTGTAGATAGCTCACTACTCTTTAAAACTGTACCTCTCAAGCTAGCAAGCTTTATCTAGCTGACTGCTGCTTTTACCTCAAATTCTGTATCTGCCTTGCTCCCTTCTCCAATTTCAGATAGATAGCAGCTAGCTGCAATTATTTGGTGAATATGGCTATTGTCAGAATCACTCTCCTAATAACTGGCTCATATATTCTAGAAGGGTAGAAGAGGGTAATTTCTACTTTAGGGCCTTTTAGCACTGCTGCAGCATTGCTATTTTGTAAACCACACAAGAAGTGGAAATAAAACTGTCATTCCATATAACTCTTATTATGGAAGTCTACTCTACATAAAAATCTCAAGATAATTGTATATTGTGCCAAGATATATTTGCTCATTAAAAAAACAACAACACTGCATATATTTACCCAAGAGTAAACCCCACAGAGTTTGGCATAGATGTGTTATAGTGTTATAGTGTATGGTGCTATCAACCACATTTGAGATGATGAGATCCATTTCCCTAGCAAGACTTTATAGGATTGTAGCTCTCAGTCAGCAAAGGTCACCCTGTCTTAAGCTGCTTTCAAAATATCTGGTCACCACAGTCCCATCATCAGTGTATTCATCACCTACATTTCCACCCCCCCCCCCCACCTTATTAGTGCTATTGCACTCTGCTGGTAAAATAAAAGAAGCATATTTCCAATTCCTGTTAATCCCAAAGCAATTCCAGGTTGCTAGTTAAGTGATAATTTTTATTCTTTCCAACTAGTTTCTATGGGCAGTGATTTTCATAATAAGATATAAGATGTTCTAATTGTGGAGCAGGTACATTTTGAAGTCCTTCATCTCTCTTTTCTTTTATTGTAGTTAACTTTTATCTTATGTTTTATGCTGCTTTAGTGTCTTTTAATCAAAGTTTCCCCTTTTCTGATTTTGAACTCTTAATTTTTCAGTTATGTGAACATTACACTGACTATATTTGGTCATTGCTTCTGACGGATTTATATCTATCTATCTATCTATCTATCTATCTATCTATCTATCTATCTAT